GAATGCGGTGCCATGTGGGGGAGTCGGGTACATAACCTCAACAGAGTCCGGAGCCTGACAGGAGGGATAGGGCACTGAGGGGACATCCTAACTGTTGTCAATAAGGAAATTGAGACTCAGTAAGGACCCTGGGCTGGCCAAGGTCACACAGCCAGTAAGTGGCCGAGCCCAGAATTTGAACCCATTATATTTGAACCCAACCCCATGCTTTTATTTTTTTTTAATATATTTTTATTGATTTTTTACAGAGAGGAAGAGAGAGGGATAGAGAGTTAGAAACATCAATGAGAGAGAATCGTCGATCAGCTGCCTCTTGCACACCCCCTATTAGGTACATGCCTTTGACCGGAATCAAACCCGGGACCTTTTAGTCTGCAGGCCAACGCTCTATCCACTGAGCCAAACCGGTTTCAGCCCAAGCCCACGCTTTTAAATATAGGAGGCAGGATAGCAGAGTGTGCACTTAGGTGTCATCCAGACCTGTGTCCAAATCCTAGGCTCAGCTCCTTACTACTGTGTGCCTTAGGTGAGCTACCAATCTCTCCTTGCATTGGGGTTCTCTCCATAAGATGAAGCCATGAATGTCTTCCTGGGTAAAGGTGGGAGGGTTAGGTCAATAACGCATGGAAAAGGCTGAGCCAGTGCTGGCACCTAAAGAACGTTAGCTCTGGTTACCCTAGGCTCTCAGCCTGCCAGCCCCAGACCCCTCCGGGCTTCCCTGGAATCTTCCAACGTGCAGAAGTCACATCTCCCCTCCAGGCTGATCTTGACACAGGGAAGAAGTTAATAGTTACCAGCAGCTGGAGAGGGGGGAATGGGGAGACATTAGTCAAAGGGTACAAATTTCCAGTTATAAGATTAACAAGGTTGAGCCCCCACTTGGTGGATAGAGCGTCAGCCTTCGGACTGAAGGGTCCTGGGTTTGATTTTGGTCAAGGGCACGTATCTTGGTTGCAGGCCTTCTGGCCCCGGTCGGGGTGTATGCAGGAGGCAGCCAATCAATGTGTCTCTCTCACTTCAATGTTTTCCTCTGTCTCTCTCACTTCAGTGTTTTCCTCTGTCTCTCCCTTTCCCTTCCACGCTCTTTAAAAATCAATGGAAAAATATCCTCGGGTAAGGATCAACAGCTCAAAACAAAAAGATTAACAAGGTTGAAAACATAGTGATTATAGCTAATAATATTGTGTCATATACTAGAATATTGCTAAGAGAGATGTTAAATGTTCCTTCCGCACACCAAAATGGTAAGCATGTGATGGGATGGAGATGGTAGCTAAACTATGGTAGTAATCACTTGGCAATTTATAAATGTGTCACATTAACAGATTGTAAACCTGAAATTTACACATTATGCATCAATTATATCTCAATAAAGCTTGGGGGGAGGGGATCAAATTTAACCTTGCCAGAGAGAGGTCTGACCTTTGCCCTCAGCTCCTAGCAAGGAATCCAAGTAGGAACAATGAAATTTAGGGTGGGGGCTGGCCACCACCAGAAAAAACCACCACATGAATTGGGAGGAGAGGGGATTGGGTCACATGGTATCAGAGACTGAACTCCCTCTTCACGGGAGAGGACAATGGAGGCGCAGCTTCTGATGCTTGTACATCTTCTCCTGGCTGACTTTAATCTCTTCTTTCCCCGTAATAAACTGTCAACTGTGGGTGTAACAGCTTTCAATGAGTTCCATGAGTTCTTCCAGTGACTCACAGAATGTGAGGTGGCTTTGGAAATCTCTGAACTTGCGGTTGGTGTCCGAAGTGAGGGTTCTCTTATGAACTGTGTTCCCTCTAAGGTATACACTTGGGCCCTGCCTGGTTTGGCTCAGTGGATAGAGTGTCGGCCTGCAGAAAAAAGGGTTCCAGGTTCGATTCTGGTCAAGGGCACGTACCTCAGGTGAAGCCCTCCCCCTCACAGTCTGGGCAATGGTCAGGGCCCGTGCCGGAGGCAACCAATCGATGGGTTTCTCTCACATCAATATTTCTTTGTCTTTCCCTCTTTCTTCCACTCTATCTATAAAAACAATGGAAAAATATCCTCGGGTGAGGATTTTAAAAATAAACTAAACTGTACACTTGACTAAACTCTTGCACTCTGGCACGTTGAACAAATGAGTACATGAGTGGGCTTTCCAGAATTGCTCAAAGTCAAACAAATCTTATCCCAAACCCTGTGCAGTAGGACCCATCATCCCTTCACAGGTAAGGAAGCTGATGCTGAGAGAGGTTGGCAATTGGAGTCAGGCCCGCCAGACTCCAGGCTCAGGATCTGACCACCCCCGGCTACTGTCCCCCACTGCTCCCCACCCCAACCACAAGACCTTTCCACTCCCCCAAGCCAGGCCTCACCAGCCTGGGCCTCCTTGAGAAACAGACCAGAGAGAGGCTGAGGCAGACCAGGCTCCCAGCCCCTGAGGCCTTTCGGAGGACGGTGGGCAGGTCTCAGGCCTCGTCATGCTCAGCCCGCAGCCTGCCTGACCCCACATCAGACTGCAAGCTCAGATGTCTTCGTGGGGGACTCAGGTGAGTCCCTTGAAGCGGCGAGTGGAGGAGCGTGGGAACTGGAGTGGATGGAGGGTGTGTTCCATGGCAAGGCACCACAATCTTTGTGAGGTTCTTGTGTTAAACACAGTGAGGGCCAAAGCAGACAAGCCTTGGGGTCTCTAGTCCGCGACCTCTGAGTTCCATATCGGGCCTTCCCACCTCTGCCACTTCACACACACACACACACACACACACACACACACATACCCGGCGTGACGGTCCTGTCCTCTCCTGCAGGGCCTCTCCCTGCAGCTCCCTGCCTCGGCCACTCTCCCACGCTCTCCGCCCCACCTATTCTGCAGGTCTCAGCTTCAAAGCCATTCCTCGCAATTCTCCTCTGACCCAGCACATTCGGTAAGAGAACCCGGGCCTCTGGGTCCCAGCCCAGGGCTCCTCCCCCTCGTCCTCTGCTATAAACTCTCCAGCCCTGGGCTTTCCCGTGGCTGCTCCAGAATCAATATTCATTCCGGTGGCCAGTCCGTCTCTCCACTCACCCCTTAGGGAGCACCTTCTTTGTATCGAGCTCTGTTCTAAGCCCAAGGGAAATGATGTACTGTTAATAAGGGGAGGTTCTCACCCTCGTTGCTCTTTGGGATAGTCAGACAATACAGTGATAATCACACACATGGATATGATCATCACATCCTATATAATAATAGCCCAGCAATCAAAACGGCAGAACAACCAGAGACCAGAATGACCATAGCCCATCACCCCAGCCAGCTGCCCCCCAGCAAGCAGTTAGGGGTGATCAGTCAGGCAGAGGTGGTTAGGGGCTATCAGGCAGGCAGAGTGCTTAGGAGTGATCAGGCAGGCAGGCAGAGTAGTTAGGGACAATCAAGCAGGCAGGCAGAGTGCTTAGAAGCAATAAGGCAGGCAGAGGTGGTTAGGGGTGATCAGGCAGGCAGAGTGTTAAAGGGTGATCAGACAGGCAGAGTGGTTAGGGGCGATCGGGTAGGCAGGCAGAGTTATTAAGGGCAATCAGGCAGGCAAGTGATTAGGGGTGATCAGGCAGGCAAGGAAGTGGTTAGAGGCCACAGTCTCAGATTGTGAGAAGGTGCAGGCCGGGATGAGGGACACCCACCTGCCCCAGTGCCAAATTTTGTGCACCCGGTCTCTAATACAGTAATGAAGGCTATGCGGGGACATAGAGAGTTCACTTAGAGAAATAAATGGGGGCCCTTATTTAGACTGGTGGTCAGAGAAGACTGGAGTCAGGGGTTCCATCTTTCTTTTCTCTAATAAATTTCTTTCGCTGTGTATGTTTTTAATCCACAGTTGGGAATCTATGTATGTGGATTTTCAACTGCAGGTGTGTGTGTGTGTGTGTGTGTGTGTGTGTGTGTGTGTGTGTGTGTGTGTGTAGAAAAATAATAACAGGAGCCAATGTTTGCTGAAGGGTTCCTGTGCACACAGCCTGGAGCAAGGAGCTTTCGTCCCTATAGCAAGCTTATTAGTACAATTGACCTTGAACCACACAGGAGTTAGGGGCATCCCCCGTGGCCTCTGAAGTTCAGCGGGACCCCAGCCACTCCTGAGCACACTCTTCCTCATTCCTCCCGGCACCTGGCCCAGAGCAGGTGCCTAGACCAGCGGGCGCCAACCTTTCAGACCTTACGGACCACCATTATCTGTGGTCCACCGGTTGGCAACCGCTGGTCTAGATTATGGCAGGAAGAAGGGGAGATGGTGGTGACCTGGAGGCAGGCCAGAGGTGGCAGAACCTCAGGGCAGACACTGGCAAGGCCCTGAAGACAGCCCTCTCAGCCACCTCCCACGGCCCCCGCCCCACCCGACTCTGGCCTCACCACGCCTCCTCATGTGGGCACTGCTCCAGGCCCGTTTCCTGGCCCCGAGTCTCTTTGTTCAAAGCCCCTCCTTCCTCTATAGCCCCCACCCCCAGGCTCCCCGTGACCCAGAGGACACGGCCCAGGCCCCCTCAGCCCTGAGCTCCCATCCCCAGCCCCCACCCTGACCCCAGAGGGGATGGGCACTGCACTGAGGGCGAGGGGGCAGAGAACACGGGAGGCACACACTCTGGCTTCTTTATTGGGCAAAGTCTTAGAGACTCTGTAAGGCACGGAGTCGAGGAGGGTGACGGGGCGCCCGGGGGGTGTGGTCAGGAATACCAACGCCTCAGTGCTGGGCATCCCATCATAGCGCATGCTCCCGCCCTCTGGGCAGCTCTGAGCATCTCCCTTCACAGGTCCCGCTCCCGGGGAGCCTGGGAACAAAGGGCTCCTCTGCCCCCAAGAAGGGGAGCGTGAGTGATGGGGGACAGGGGAAAGGGAGAGGAAGTCCCATGGTCTAGGGGAGCAGAGGTGTGAGCTGAGGGGCTCGGATGTGAGCCTAAGCCCCTCGTCCCTGGAGGCACTGAGAATAAGGCACTCAGCTCGGGGCAAGTGCTGGAGGCGGGGCAGTCAGCCTGGCGGCAGGTGGGCTGGAGGCAGGGCTGTCTCAGCTGAAGTCCCGATTGGGCAGGAGGAGCGGGGCGACCAGGGTCCACAGGTAGAGCAGCAGCCCGGCCCAGCTGGCACAGATCTTCACCCACACGGCGGTCCAAGTGCTGACCATCTTCCGGGTCTCGTTGGGCCTGGAACGCACCAGCATGCCAGTGAGCCTGGCCCAGCTGTGACTCCTGACTTCACCTTTGACTCTTCTTTCTGTAACTCTAGTCCCCGTCTCTGGTATTTCTGGCACGTGGTCTTAGGTCTCTAGACACAGCTCTTGACCTTGTACCACAGACCTGATCCTGACCTCAGTTCCAATCTTGACCACTGTCCTAGACTAATATAGTGACCTGACCCCTGGAGCTCCAGACCTTAGTCCTGACCTCTAACCTTGACCCTGACCCTCAATCCTGTAACCCCATCTTTGACCCCTGATTTTATGACCACAGTATTGATATCTGACCTCAATTCTGACCCTGGGCCCTGTGACCACAGTCCCGGCCCCTGACCTTGTTACTCTTATCTTAGCTCCTTGACTTGTCTTTCTAGCCCACTAACCCCATTTTTAATCAAATGGCCAAATTTGTGACTTTACATGGCCCCAATCCCAACTCTTGACTCCATTACTCCTACTCTAACCCTGTGACTTGGATTCTGACATCCACACCCTAACCCTAACCCTCCAACCGTGAGTCCTAGGTCTGACCCCTCAATCCAAAGTACCACGCCGACCTGTAAGCCTGGTCTGCCCACCCAGGCCAAGCCCCACCTCCCGGGACCTCCGCTTTCCAGTGGAGGCACCGGCGGGGAAACTGGGTCGCGGATGGGGCAGGCGCCATGGAGGGTCCTGGAGAGATGCCTCCATTTCCAAGTCTTGCGCAGGTTTTCCTAACGCTCAGTGAGGGGCCAAAGGAGGGGAGCCGTGTGGCCAGGCCCCGCAGGCTCTGCCGTGCCCGGCCAGGCTGCACGCACCTGTACCAGTTGGTGAGCGTCATCATGATGTGCAGGGAGGCGAGCACCAGGCAGAAGTGGAAGAAGGAGTAGCTGTAGGTGACGCCGTCCTGCTCGTTGTCGAAGGCCTGGCCTGCCGCCCGCTGCTGCGCCGAGCCCTCCAGGATGGGCGGGCACTCCTCCGTCCGCATCAGGCTGTTCACCTGCCGGTGGTTCGAGGAGCGCACGCTGCAGGGGAGGGAGGAGGCGGGCAGGTGGGCAGTGCCAGGGGGTCATAACAACAGGCATGATGGTCCCGGAGCCTTGAGGGCCCGGGATCTGGCGCTTACGTCCTGGGACCAGGAGTTAACAAACTGCTTTGATTCTCAACTCGGGCCCCCAGCCCCTGTGTGAACTTGGGCAAGGTACCCTCTCTGAGCCTCTGATTCCTTGTCTATAAAATCAGGGACAGCAGTACTCGCCTCACAGTGCTGCTGGGAGGACGGAATGGAATGATGGTGTAAAGTCCCTCGCACTGTGCCTGCTACAACATGAATACATTAAACTGCCTCTGTTATTCTGTTGGTTCGATTGCCATTTCCTTTAACATGTACTGAGCATTTAGTGCTGCAAAGCATCACGCCAGGTCCTACATTTATTAATAATGTTAATAATTAACCATGCTGCCGAAACCGGTTTGGCTCAGTGGATAAAGCATCAGTCTGTAGATTGGGGAGGTCCCAGGTTTGATTCCGGTCAAGGGCATGTGCATTGGTTGCAGGCACATCTTGGGGAGGGGGGGAGAGAAGGGTGCAGGAGGCAGCTGGTCGAGGGTTCTCTCTCATCGATGTTTCCAGCTCTCTATCCCTCTCCCTTCCTCTATGTAAAAAATCAATAAAATATAAATAATAAAATAATAATAATGATAAAAATTATCCATGCTTACTTGCTATTAAGTTTGTTTTCCTTTTATAATTTTTAGGTAAGAGGCTTCACCAATTACCTCCCCTTTCTTCATGTTTATAATTTTAAAAATAATAACAGTAATGATTTTTCGGTCATTGCTTTTCTATAATGAGGTCTTAATGTTTTTAACAGTAATACTAGTCTGAGACATACAGACAATTTTGAAAATCTAATGGTATTTTGGGGGAAAAGCGAAAGGAGACCTGGGTACCAGCCACACCCCAAACTGAGGTCACCCTTCGCTGAGCTGCAGCTGGGCCCCCCAAGCCCTGCCAACAAGCTGCACACAAACACCCACATCGGGGGATCGAGCTGGCGTGAAAGCCATCATGGTCCCTGCTTCCTGGCTGCTTGTGCTTCTTTGTTTCCTGTGTGTGTTTTCTTTTTCATTAATGCTTTTAATATATATATATATATATATATATATATATATATATATATATATATATGTCTTTACTGATTTCAGAGAGGAAGGGAGAGAGAGATAGAAATATCAATGAGGAGAGAGAATCTCTGATCAGCTGCCTCCTGGGCGGGCATGGGCCCTGTCTGGGAATCAAACCCTAACCTCCTGGTTCATAGGTCGCCACTTAACAGCTGAACCACGCTGGCCAGGCACTTCCTGTGTTTTGAGAGCTAAGAACACAGCCCCCCTGGTTCTCAGAGGCGCTGCCCAGTGCCCGCAGGCCAGGGAGGTCTGAGTGGGAGAAGCCGGAAGAAGCCAGCTGCCCGGATGGGCCGGGGAGGGCGTGTGCACAAGCCCCACGGCCACTGTGTGCTCACCGCCTCAGACAAGTGGCTGCCCTACATGGAGTCTCGGTTTCCTCTAAAACGGATGTGACAGGCCCTGGCTGGTTTGGCTCAGTGGATAAAGCATTGGCCTGCGGACTGAAGGGTCCTGGGTTTGATTCCAGTTAGGGGCACATGCCTGGGTTGCGGGCTCAATCCCCAGTAGGGATGTGGGAGGAGAGAGCCAATCGATGATTCTCTCACATCACTGATGTTTCTATCTCGCTCTCCCTCTCCCTCTCTGAAATCTATAAAAATACATTTTTTTTTTAAATGGGCGTGACAGGGGCCTTTCCAGATTAGAAAAGGAAACAAATGAGGTGACAAAGACGAGAGATGTTTATAAACTGCCCAAACATGACTCTGAAAGAGGGCATTGTGAATCGGCCTCAGAAATTCTAGCCGGGGCCTGGCAGGGGTGTGGCCAGAGGTGGCCTCCAGGGAGGAAAGGGCAGGCAGAGGAAGTGGCGCCTGGAGAAACGCTGGCCCCAGCGCCAGCGCGGAGTCTGTCAGGTTCCGGTAATCACGGCTCTACTGGAGCTCGCCACCTAGTGACTCGTACCAAACAGCCACCCACCTGTGCAAACATTCCACGTTACTGGTCATAACAGCAAACATTTATTTGGTGCCTCTTACTTGCCAAGTTCTTTTCTAAGTGCCTTCCACATACTCACTCACCCATAACCCTACAACAATCTACTGAGGTAGGTACTGTTTTTATTTCTATTTTCCCAGACAAGGAAGCTGAGGCACAGAAAGGTTAAGGGACCCTCCTGAAATCACACTGCCAGTCAGTGCCAGTGCCGGGCTCAGACGCAGGCGGCCCGGACTCCAGAGTTCACCCCGATAGGCACTGGCTAAGATGCCCCTTTCGAACAAGTTGTCATGTGATCTTAAGTAGGAGCTGCTCCCTCTCAGTGAGGCTGTGGGGTCCCAGCCACCCTGGGCCTTAGAGGCTAACATTACCCTTTTACCAAGGAGGAAACGGAAGTCGGGAAGGGAAAGCCACTTACCCCAAGGCCACAGCAGGTGAGTGACAGACGGAGCCACTTTCCCTGACCCCACAGTTGCCTGCAACCAACTGAGCTGGCACGTGGCAGCCCCGTGTGCAGGAAAGGGCCTGGGGCCAGGAGGTGGGGTTCAGTCCCACCTTGGCTGCCAGTCACACTGTGTCCTCCGAGGGACTCAGTTTCCCCACCAGCACAGTGCAAGGGCCAGACATGCTGCCTCCAGCCTGGCGTCCCGGCTCCCACATTCTCCCCTCTCTTCTGGCTCTGGGTCCCCCAATCATGATCCCTCCCCGGAACCCAGACCCTGGCCCTACCTGATGAACAAGGTGCACAGGATGAAGACGATGAGGCCCACGATGCTCGGCGCGTCCCACCACTGAGTCACGTAGCCCTCGGGGCCTGCCAGGATCGTCCCGTTGTCCAGGGAGGTCAGCAGGTGGGGGTTGCATTTCTGGTCTGGGGACAGGAGCAGGGTCCCCCTCAGCCCGTGCAGGCCAGGTCTGAGGAGGATGGGCAGAGAGCCAACCCAAATGGACAGACAGACACGGAGCCCACCATCCAAGTCCCAGCGTCAGATGACACTTAGCAGACAGAACGACAAACAGCTCCGGGAACAGATGGGGCCCTCCCACTATAGGCTTGGGCTGGGATGTCCCTGTCACCTGTAAGGGTCCCCAGTCCTCCCCCAACCCCACAGGGGGCCTTACTAGCCTAAGAACAAGACCAGGCCTCCTCGAACCCAGGCCCAGACTCACCGGGCACATTAGACAGCGCCAGCCAGGTGATGAACATGGTGTAGAGCGTGATGACGGAGGCCTGCAGCAGACCCGAGTTGGGCTGGGCGTCCTGGTGAGAACAGCTCATCAGCGTGAGCCCTGCCAGGCCTGGGGACCCCCCAGCCCACTCAGTGGGGGGGTACCCACTCACCCCCCACCAGGGAACCTCAGAAACCCTCCCCCCCACACCGCCCAAGCCACCCACCACTTACCTCGCCCACCCAAAGGGGGAGTCCTAACGCTTTCCCCTAACAGATCACGCCCTTGCTCCCCCGCTGAGAACCCTGCAAGGGGGGCGTCCCTGCCCTCTAAGGATCAAAGCCCTCCCTGGCCGGTCCCGCCTTCATCTCTCCCCGATCCCCCAGCCCTGCTCCTTCCTGCTGAGGACAACCGGCCACTGTGGCCTCCTCCTGCCTGTGCCCTCTCCCTGACATCTTCCTTCCTGGACCTCTGCACGGGCAGCCCCTCGTTAGCTTTCAGACCTCGGCTCAAACAGGATGCAACAAGGCCCTGAAAATCCTGCCTACAGCACCCCTGGCCCTGCCTACCTTCCACCCACTACCCGCTTACTCCCCTCAAAGCACTCGTCCAAAACGACCTTACTTTGCCTGATCTGTTGCTTATTCTTTCCCACTCTTCACTATTTTAATTATCCTTCCTCCTCTTCCTCACAGCTGTATGCCCCACATCTAGAGGGACACCTGATACACAGTGAGTGCTCAGGAGGTGTTTGCTGCGTGAATACCGATTGCTGTGTGACCTGGGGCAGAGGCATCACCCTCTCTGGGCTTCAGTTCTCTGAATGGGAAATGCAGACTCTGACCAGGAAGTTCCCAAACGTTCTGCTAACAACCCCCAAAAGCTACCTAAGCTTCCTTTGGGTCCCCTGGTGGGCTGAGGTCCCAAATTGGGAAGTACCACTGGGCTCAGAAGGCTTTTTTTCTGAAGAACAATTACTTGGGAACCCCCATTCATTATCCCAGACCAGTGCTTGGCAAACTGCGGCTTGCGAGCCACATGCGGCTCTTTGGCCCCTTGAGTTTTAGCAAGGCCAGCTTAGGAGTACCCTAATTAAGTTAATAACAATGTACCTACCTATATAGTTTAAGTTTAAAGAATGTGGCACTCAAAAGAAATTTCAACTGTACTGTCGATATTTGGCTCTGTTGACTAACGAGTTTGCCGACCATTGTCCCAGACGGTCTGCGATTAGAAACTGAAATTGCACCTCCTAACACTACTTCTTGAGGTATCTAAGGATCATTGCTCGGGGATGTTCTCCCAATTCACATAAAAACAATGCCAGCGCCAATAATGATAACAATAGCCAATGCCTGATGCATGTCTCTGTGCCAGGCCCTGTTCTATGTGTTCACAAACATGATCTCAATCCTCCACATGGCAGGTATTATTAGCCCCCTTTTACATTTGAGAAGAGAGAGGGGGGCACAGAGAGATGAAGGCACCTTCCCAAAGACACCTAAAATGTAGATGGGAGAGCCGAGACTCGAACTCAGGGAGGCTGACTGGGGAGCCCACACTCAGCCCATGGCTCTGTGGCCACCAGCCCTGCCCAGGATGCCAAGGTTCCCACAGGACATCCCACACCCCAGCGGGCCTGGCCTCCGGCCGGGCAGAGCAGCCAGCTCACCTGGACCTTGGGCAGGACGGAGATGATGGAGACGCAGATGCAGAGCGTGAGGTTGAGGCTGATGAAGACCTTGCCCTCGTGGCAGGCGTCGGGCTCGGTGTAGTAGACGAAGAGCAGGGCCACGGCCACAATGGACAGCGAGTAGAAGAGGAAGGTGCAGAAGAAGAGACCTGGGCGGGGCCAGCAAGCAGGGGGTCAGGAGGCACAGGGATCCCCACTCCCTCCAGGGGGCTTGCGGAGCCAGCCTCCACTTTGTCATCCAAGGACTGACATCGGTGTCCCCTAAACTTCCATCACTCCCAACACCTCTGTGAGTTTTGGCCCCATCCTGAGCTAGAATGATTCACTCTCCATAAGTAAAGTAATCATAAAAATAAACACAATGACCACTCTCAACAATAAAGGTGTTTTTTTTTTTAAAGTAATAGTAAATAAATACAAGGAATACAAAACGATTGTTTAAAAAGTGAACTAGGTCCAGCCAGTGTGGTTCAGTGGTTGAGCATCAACCCATGAACCAGAAGGTCACGGTTCCATTCCCGGTCAGGACACATGCCAGGTTGCAGGCTCAGTCCCCAGTGGGGAGCGTGCAGGAGGCAGCCGATCGATTACTCTCTTCCATTCTCTCTTTCTCTCTCTCCCCTTTCCTCTCTGAAATCAATAAAAACTTTTTTTTTTTTTGAGTGAACTATATGTGTGGGATCTGCTGGCGCCTGCTCTGGCAGCCAGAGAGACAGCGAGTTCAGAGAGGCCTGAACACCAACCAGCGCCTCAGTGAGCCTTTCTTTCTGAAGGTTGAGCTGGGACCTTTCTGCCACTGGGTACCAAAGACCAAGTGGTATTGAAGGTTGGCCAGGGCTGGCTGTGCATGGCCCATCCCTCAGGAGCCGCTGGACTAGACCCTCCAAGGTCTCCCCAGTTCCTCTCCCGTCTGATCCTCTGAAGCCGCCCTGGAATCGGGTGCCCCCTTCTCCTCTCCCCACCCCCACACCCTTCCCTCCCTCTGCCTTGCACAGACCGATTCCTGCCCAAAGGCAGGGCTGCTCACGATGCCCTCCAGGCATTCATCAAGCTTCAGAGACCCCTGGATGCCCCCGAGAGGCCGGCCCTGGCACTGACCTGCGTACCAGGCGCGGGAGTCGCACTCCTCGGCCTTGCCCAGCCACTGCTGGTTCCAGGAGTGTGCGAAGTCGATGAGCAGCACCAGCTGGATAAGGATGAAGAGGAAGGAGCCCACGACACCGAAGTAGAACCAGACTGGATGGGGAGAGGGGAGTGAGGGAGCCAGTCTGGCCCTGGGCAGAAGCCTGGGTGCCAGGGCCCCTGATCCACCCGGCTCTCTGGGATTCCTGGGGCAGGCACAGGAATCACACACATGTATTCATTCAGCAATCATTGGTGCCAAGCCCTGCCCCGGGACACTGAGATAGTGCAAAGCCCCTGCTCTCAGAGAGCCCCTAGCCATGCCCCGAGACAGCGTGGCAGGGCATGGGTGAGGGTTAGGCAGGTACCTCCGTCCCCCTGTCCCCAAAGTTGCCCAAAAGCCCTAAGGCCACACACCATAGCGCTGTCTCCTGACCAGGAGCCGAGGCCCCAGTCGGCAGTCTGTGTGCCAGGGCACCGAGCAGCCCCACCAGCGCTCCTCCCACTGGGGACCCCTCCCCACCAAGACGCTTACCGTCGGAGAAGGAGCCATCGGGGATGTAGAAGGCGCCCACGGTGATGCCCACAAAGATCAGGAACTTAAAGAACCAAAACCTACGGGGTGGGGATTAGGACAGACAGGACAGTGGAGCAGGGTTAGAGGGAAAGGCTGGCCCCCGGAAGCTCGCCCCTAAAAGGTGAAGAGGGGCTTTCTCACAGTCTGATGGGCACAGGAAATCTGTCCTGGCCCTAGAAAAAGCCCCAAGGGGCAGAGGGAAGGAACGTCCATGTAAGGATAAGGGGGCTGGTCACCCAAGTTCTGGCCCCAGCTGCGTCACTAAATGCTGTGTGGCCTGAGCATGTTGCTTCCCTTTCTGAGCTTAATTTCCTCATCTGAGAAACGGGGAACACTAAATGAGCTGCCTTCTGTGCTGTAGGGGCTGGAGATCTCTGGAGACAGGCCGGGGACGGGGCACCACTGCGGGAGGGACCTGACGGGGTGCAAGGGTGCCCGCCCCCCCAGCACTCACCCGTTCTGGAAGGCGGCCCGGGGGTCCTGGCTGCTGCGCACGTAGATCATGAGCACGGTGAAGAGGAAGAAAAAGGCGGCCATAGCAAAGCACATGCGGTAGACGGCGCGTTGGCCGAGCAGGGAGCCGCAGTCAATGTGGCTCTGCATGACGACGGTGCTCCCGGTCCCCTCATCACACCCCCAAGGCAGCTGTGGAGACAGAGGTGCCATTGACTGCCCCACCCTCCCTGGGGCTGATTCTGCCAAGGCCTGCCCTGAGGAGGCCCTCCCAGCAGGGGCGGGGCCAGGAGGAGGCCCTCCCAGCAGGGGCGGGGCCAGGAGGAGGCCCTCCCAGCAGGGGCGGGGCCAGGAGGAGGCCCTCCCAGCAGGGGTGGGGCCAGGAGGAGGCCCTCCCAGCAGGGGCGGGGCCAAGAGGAGGCCCTCCCAGCAGGGGCGGGGCCAGGGGAGGCCCTCCCAGCAGGGGCGGGGCCAAGAGGAGGCCCTCCCAGCAGGGGTGGGGCCAGGAGGAGGCCCTCCCAGCAGGGGCGGGGCCAAGAGGAGGCCCTCCCAGCAGGGGCGGGGCCAGGAGGAGGCCCTCCCAGCAGGGGTGGGGCCAGGAGGAGGCCCTCCCAGCAGGGGCGGGGCCAGGAGGAGGCCCTCCCAGCAGGGGCGGGGCCAGGAGGAGGCCCTCCCAGCAGGGGCGGGGCCAGGAGGAGGCCCTCCCAGCAGGGATGGGGCCAGGAGGAGGCCCTGCCAACAGGGACGGGGCCAGGAAGAGGCCCTCCCAGCATGGAGGAGCTGGGACAGGAGCTGAACCTCCCACCACCATCCCCATAGCTACCCACACCTGGGGTTGAAGTCCTAGGTGTACCCACCCCCACACACAGACGGTCCAGTTACGTCTCTGTTTATTTCCTTGCCATCCTACCCACAGCCTCAGGAACACATGGCACTGTCTAAGGCAGGATTTCCCAAAATGCCCTCCACCCACCACCTACACTGAGAGGGCAGGGCAGGGTGAGGATGACTCCGTCCTGCCTCACAGTGGAGTCCGGAGTTTATTCTCACCCTGCCAGGGCGGAGTTATCCTCCATTTTGTGTAACTGGATCCTAGCCCTCACCCAGCCAATCAGGGTCAGCCAAAGCAGTGACATCACCATCGGTGTAAAACCCCCAGGGCGTGGCGAAATTCTTGCTCTCTTCTGCCATGCTGTCAGCGTGAGTGGGACAGAGCCCATGCTAGCATGGAAGAGGCTCTTTTGTTTATTGCATCGGACTCGGCTCCCTGGTGGTCCTTGGGGATCACGAAGTCTGGGCGTAACAACACCAGATTCCCTGAGATTCTTCTGGAAATGGAGACTCAGAGGCCCATCTCCTACAGGACTGGTGCCTCTCGGGTGGCTCTGAGACTGCATTTCCCGCTGCTCTGGAATTCATACCTGTGGACACCCTAACCTGTCACACCAATGGCCTGACACTTGGATGAAGGGAAGAGTTGGGACCCCCCCAACTGGGCTTGCCGGAATGATTCATGTGATTTTCCAAGGAGACCGTGGCTTATGAGAACCGTTTATTCCCACGTGAGGCCCAAACCCTCCTTCCCACTTGAAGAAACGCCCTGGGCACACCTGCCCGCCTCTTCTTGGCCACCTGGGACCCCAAGCCTGGTCCCGTAGCAGCAGGTTTCCAGGCTGCTCCCCGGGCACACGCAGGCTACCTCCTCCCCCACCCCCGCCCCCCGGGCTGCTCACCTTGTGGAGCTGGCTCTCCACGCCAGGGCTCAGCATGATGAGGCACACCAGCACCCCCAGGAAGAGGAAGAACGTGAAGATGATGCGGCTGACGGTGGAGTTGCGGGTGGAGGGGCAGCAGCCACACAGGATGCAGGGGGCAGAGCCACAGAGGCAGGAGGCCTGTGGGGAGGGCAGGACAGCACCCTTATCTCCACCTCCTCTCCCCTCATGGCCGAGCACGCAGCACCCACCACCGCCCCTCCGATGCCTCCAGATCCGCACGACCCCGCCTGTGCAACCCCCGGGCCAGTGTGATCCCAAGAGATGTCCAAGCCTGAGGCGGGGGCTGAGGAAACCTAGCTTGGAAGAAGCCGGGTCTCACGGTCACACAGCCAGCAAGGAAGAGAACCCAGATTCAAACCTCAGGTGCTGCCGTGGCTTCGGAGAGAGAGAGAGCTGTGCCACCCTGTGTCTTACTTAGGGGGAGGCAGAGGAGTAAAAAAAATAAATGTTTAAAAATCCAGAAGTCTAGCTCCATCCCTGATTAGCCATGTGACCTTACACAGCTCATTCAACCCCTCTGAACTGCGGTGTCCTCCTCTACACAGCAGGAATCGGAAGGGCACCCACTCCTCACGATACAAGTTTCCTTTCCTCGTTTCGGTTTCCTCCGTAGGACTCACTATCATCTGCTAAGATTCAGAGTTTACTTATGTTTGCCTGCCTCCCATGTCCAGCGTGTACGCTCCGCCACGGCAGGAATGTTGGTCTGTTTTGCTCGCGGTGGCGTTCCCAGAAAGCGGAACAGGGCCTGGCACAGAGAAAGAGCTCGGGGACCATCTGGGGAAAGAATGTAGCACCAGACACATGTGAAGACCCGAGGAAACCGCAGGCATGTGGCAAACACCTGCTGAATGAATGGAATGAAGCCTGTGAGGAGCTGGGATTTCCTACTCTGGGGCTGACGGGAATCTGTTAGGGGCTGGGGATGCCACGCCATTCCCAGGCGGTGCCCCAAAGAGCCCCAGCCCTCCGAGAGCTGGGTCTGCCTGCCGAGCCTTTGTGGAAGTTTATCTTCCCCCCAACAGCCCAGCCCCTCAGCCAGGTACTTCCGAGGCCAGAAAGGCAGAGTCCCGCCTTGGTGGAGCGTCCAATGATCAACAGATCATCACACGTGCTAAGAAGAAAATGTGCCCCTAACGGTTTGGCTCAGTGGATATAGAGCGTCAGCCTGCGGACTGAAAGGTCCCAGGTTCGATTCCGGTCAAGGGCATGTACATTGGTTGTGGGCACATCCCCAGTAGAGGGTGTGCAGGAGGCAGCTGGTTGATGTTTCTAACTCTCTATCCCTCTCCCTTCCTCTGTAAAAAAATCAATATATATGTTTTTAATATATTTTATTGATTTTTTTACAGAGAGAAAGAGAGAGGGATAGAGAGCTAGAAACACTGATGAGAGAGAAACATCGACCAGCTGCCTCCTGCACACCCCCAACTGGGGATGTGCCCGCAACCAACGTACATGCCCTTGACCGGAATCGAACCTGGGACCTTTCAGTCTGCAGGCTGACGCTCTATCCATTGAGCCAAACCGGTTTGGGCAATAAAATATATATTTTTTTAAATAATTTTAAAAAGAAGAAAACGTACGTGCTGCCCTCAGCGACAGATGGGTCCTAGTTTGGTGGGGGTGGCGAGTCACTTCCCTGAAGAAGTGACCATTTAGCCGAGAGCTGAACAGGAGAAGAAAGGCCGCTCAGGGAACAGGGCCCGGGCGGCTCTGGGACAGGCGGGAGCTGGGCAACGGAGGGACGAAAAGAAGGACCTGTACCCAAAGCTTCGTGTCAGGCAGCGAGCCATGAGTGGTGAGGCCAACGAGGATGGCAGGGCCTGGGCAGCAGTGGGCATCCACTCAGGGTGGTTGGAAGCCAGGAGGGACCAGAACAGCCTGATGCTGAATGACCGGTTTTGTGGGGAACAGGCTAAAAGGGGACCTGGCTCCTCTGCGACCCGGCACCCTGCTCTCTGGACTGGTCCTGGGCGTAAGGCACACTCTGCTTGAAGGGTCTCTGCCTTCCCCCCCCCCCCCCGGCCGCTGACTGGAGCTGCTCCTTCCCACCCAACTCCCACCTGCAAAGCCAGGATGTGAATGCTAAATGAAATGCCTGCGGAGTGGATGCTCCCTCATGTCCAAAGCCTGACAGTTCACTCACCTGCAGCTTGAAGTTGTATCCCGCAGCCCCCACCCCAAGCCCGGGCTCCTCTCCATGGCCACCTTTGGGGTTTCCGGCGGCAAGCTAGTGCCAGAAAAATGTTTTGTAAACCAACCACAAGAGCATTCTGGTCATCAGACCAAGCTATTAGTTCCCGTTTACAGATGAGAAAACTGAGCTCAGAGAAGTTAAAAACATGCCCTGGCTGGTTTGGCTCAGTGGAAAGAGTGTCAGTCTGTGAACTCCTGGGTCCCAGGTTCGATTTTGGTCAAGAATACATGCCCTTGCCAAAGCTGGTTTGGCTCAGTGGAGAGAGTTGGCCTGCAGACTGAAAGGTCCCAGGTTCAATTCTGGTCAGGGACATGTACTGTGGTTGTGGGCACATCCCCAGTAGGGGTCTGCAAGAGGCAGCTGGTCGATGTTTCTCTCTCATCAATGTTTCTGACTCTCTATCCCTCTCTCTTTCTCTCTGTGAAAAATCAATAAAATATATATTTTTTTAAAACATTTGAGATGTAAGAAAAGGCACCCCAACACAGTCGGGGAGCCTGGCCTTTCAATTCACTCTGCTTTTTGGAGATCAAAATCCAGGGGTACATGACATCTGACACCTCAGGATTCCCTGAGCCAGCCAGTGGCCAGAGAGACCAGGTCTGGGAGAGAAAAACTCACGCCAACCGCCCCTCCTCCCCACTTCGCCCCCCATCCAGCCTTGAAACATTCATGCTCTCTGACAGTCCACCAACTGTGGGCATCTCTCCTACAAGAACCTCTTCCTACAGGAGTGCCAGCCACGGGAGGAAGGGCAGATGCGCACACCTCCACACACTTGGAAGTCCACGGGGGCACTTGTTCACGCCAGGAAAATATCAGGGGGAAATTGAAAATAAATGCTCAGCAATGCGTCATGTCACTCCCTCAGAGGGCTGTCTCTGCTCAAGGGAGCAGATGGGGAGGTCCTACTTAAATGGGTCCACGTAACTAAATATAATTAAATTATACCTCAATGAGGTTGGTTTTATTGTTTAAAAATAAAAATGTTTAAGTAATGGGGGGAGGACCTAAAATAGGCGCGAAGCTTTAGGTTTTATGGGGTTATTAGAATCTAGAGAGATTGCAAGTGACCTCACTGCCCAGGGGCCGGTGGTGGCCCATTTACCGCAGGGACGTTATAGAGACAGGAGAGATGAAAGGCACCAGGCGGCAAAGGGTTATGATGCAATGGGAGAGGCCCAGGCGACTATAAAACTTCCCCCACGGAGATTACAGCTCCCGCCCCCACCACGCGCGCCCAGGGCAAAGGCGGAGACAGGAAAGCGCTGGGACACTGGCCTGAGCACCAGCCAGGGTCTCTGAGAGGAGAACATGAAGCCCTGGGTCTTGGCGTCTTCCCCTTGGAGGCTACCTGGCATTCGACCCATCCAGCCTCTGATGCAGAATCTGCAGGGAGGCCGCTGGCTATCCTCTTCCCTGGCAAGGAGCCCCCTGCCTCCCCGGCCAGCTGGACAGCTCCGGAGCTGTCCGTGGTTCAGCACGGCGGGAAGAGGCTGACACCGATCCTTTGCATTCTCCTGGCTGTCACTAGAGCCAGGGACATAGGTTCTTAGAACCCTTCCTGGGGCACTGGCTGGGTAGAGTAGGTAGCTGAGGGTGTGGGGCACAGTTTAAAGCTGTTTTGTTTAGCCAAAACCGGTTTGGCTCAGTGGATAGAGCATCGGTCTGCTGACTGAAAGGTCCCAGGTTCGATTCCGGTCAAGGGCATGTACATTGGTTGCAGGTACATCCCCGGTGGGGGGTGTGCAGGAGGCAGCTGGCCGATGTTTCTCTCTCATCGTTGTTTCTAGCTCTCTATCCCTTTCCCTTCTTCTCTGTAAAAAATCAACAAAATATATTTTTTAAATAAATAAATAAAGCTGTTTTGTTTAAAACAAACAGGCCCCCCCACTTCTGGGTGTTATTCGAAGAGCTGAGAGCAGGGACTCGGACAGATACCTGTACAACCATGTGCACAGCAGCATTACTCACAACAGCAAAAGGCGGAAGCAACCCGTCGACTGTTGACACACACAGTGGAACAACAGTCAGCCTTAGAAAGGAATCGCATTCTCATACATGTTTCAACACGGATGAACCTTAAGGACATTGTGCCACGTCAAGTAAGCCGATCACAGAAATATAAACACACAGGATCCCACTCATAGGAGGTACCTAGAGAAGGCAAAAGCACAAGGACAGGAAGTAGGATGGTGCTTACCGGGAACTGGGGGAAGGGGAGAGGAATGACTGTTTAAAGGGTCAGGAGTTTCAGTTCGGGTGAAGATAAGAAAGTTCTGGAGATGGATGGTGGTGACGCTTGCACAATGTGAAAGGTACTCAATGTCACTGAATTGTACACTTCAAATGGTACAAATAGTACATTTCACCTTATGTATATTTTATTATAGTAAAAAAAAAAAAAAAAAGAGAGAGAGAGAGAGAGAGAGAGAGAGGGGGGACAGAGAGGTGTCAAGGAAGAGTAGTAAGCTAGCCAAGTGAGGGAGGAGAGGGTATTCCTACACAGGGCATAACATGTGCAAAGCTAAGAGGAACACTGTGTTTTCGGGGAAGCTGGGCAACAACATGGTGATAGAAGTGATGGCCAGGTCCCGCAGGCCATGCCCAGGAGTCTGGGCTGTATCCTGCAGGCGAAGGGGAACCATTGCTAAAGAATAGATTAACATCAGATTTGCTTTTTTAGTTTTGGGGTTTGTAATATTGTTAATCTTCACCTGAGGATATTTTTCCTTTGATTTTTAGAGAGAGCGGAAGAGAGGGAGAGAAACAGAGAGAGACACATGGATTGGTTGCCTTTCACCTGTGACCCGACCAGGGCCACGGACTGAGCCTGCAATCCAGATAGATGCACTTGGCCTTAATCGGAATCGAACCCAGGACCCTTTGTCCACGGGCCAACTCGATATTCACTGAG